CACGACAACGTTGAGAAGGTGGTTACCGAAGCTGCGAGTTCAAATGAGTGTTTATACCCTAAAAACCCTGGCCCAAGGGTTTGAGAGTTGCGACAAACATCTCTCACTGATTCTCTGCTCCCGCTTATTTTTTTCGGGTTTGACCCGGTTTTCAAGTCGGGTCTATTAAAATTTTATCCGTATTCTCTTCATTTTTTTTTTTTTTTGTTTTTCATATTCTCCTTTGTAAATAGAAAAATCTTCTTTAAATTATTATTATTTTATTTTAATTTAAAAATAAATATAAACTATAATTTGTTTACGAAAAAAATTCAAATTACTAGTAAAAATGACAATTTAGCCTTTTTTTCCGACCTAGACGTGTAGTCATCAAATGAATTGAAATTTCCATTAAAGTCTCATTAAATTCAAGTTCGGTATGTCGAGTTTATTGTGTCAACACTAGAGATGCACACAAAAACCGGTTTCACTATTCAAAACCGGATTGGCTCAAAAACGGTTTTGACCAAACCGGATCGGATCGGATTTAAAACTGGATTTTCAATCGAATCCTAATCCTATATTCCAAATCGGATTTGATACCGGATCATAAACCGATTCGCTAAAAACCGGATCCAAATCCGCCCCAAAATCCGATTAAAACGCACTAAAATCGGTTTAAACCGGTTTCAAATCGGATTAGAATCGGATTCGGATTTTGGTTGGAACCGGATCGGATTTTGACCGAATTCGGATCGGATTTTGACCTGATCGGATTTTTGAAGACGTAAGCGAAACTGTGACAACCGTCAATTTTTGGCCAAGTCAAAGTCAACAAGTCAAACCGGTCAACTCATCTAACCCTTGTACATTAGGGTTTCCATTATGTTTCTTATTGAACAACTCGCAATCTTAATACAAAGTATCACTTAGAGTTTTCACGTGTTCGAAAATTCTAAACCCTAATCAGGGCAAGTGATGAAACTACTCGATAAAACATTATTCCTTGACCCTCAGGGGCATATAACAATCATAACGAGACTTAACGGGATGTACAAACCTTGCGTTGCGAAGCCAAACACTCAAAAAGGTCACAAAAGAAGTCTCTCCCAATCTCTTTCACTCTAACTCTCCCAAAACTCTCTAAGTAGGAGAAATCGCTACAAGTGTGTGTAATCTCTCCCAAATCTCTCCAAGTATGTGAAATCTCTCCCAAATCTCTCTCTGTATGAGAAATCTCTCCAAGAATGTGAAATCTCTCCCAAATCTCTCTCTGTATGAGAAGTCTCTCCAAGAATGTCAAATCTCTCCCAAATCTCTCCAAGTATGTGAAATCTCTCCCAAATCTCTCACTGTATGAGAAATCTCTCCAAGAATGTTAAATCTCTCCCAAATCTCTCTAAGTATGCCAAATCTCTCCAAGTATGACAAATCTCTCCCAAATCTCTCTCAAAATCTCTCTCAACTTTTTATAATCACTCGGGGCATCCCGACCCTCGAATTTGACGAAAACAGCTCGAAAACGGAAGTCTACGCGAAAAACAGCCTTAAGGAGCCGAAACTTCTCTTAGGAGCCGAACCTCTTAGAGTCGAACCTCCTGAGAACCGAAACCCTCTCAACCGAAATGGACCGAGCGGTCGGTCTATTTCGGTCCCCTGACTAATCAGAACCGAGACCTGACTTTCGGCTCTTCCCTTCTTACCTTCGGTCCGAGAAGACTTCTCACTTTCGGTCCGAGAAGCACCTGCGCAGCCGAACCCCTCCACTCTCGGTCTCTTCTGATGAGCAGCCTGCGAGACCTCTCGGTTCCCATGCACAACCGAGCCTCGCCTTCGGTTCTATGCTCCTAAGGAGCCGAACCTGCACACCTTCGGCCCTGAAGTTCGGATTTCAGCAATTCCTACCCGGTTTTCAATATTTTTAGCGTTTCGAGCCCGTTTTTCGAGATTTTAACGCGGGATTTTCACCCAAACTCGTATTTTAACATAATAAACCCCAAATATTCATATTTTAATTATATTTTGGGGAAAATCCTTGCCTAAGAATAAAATCTAGTTGGTAAGATATTTAGGAGGAGTGTTGACTTATCCTTTGAACAAGGACACAAGCAACATCCCCATACCTTCATAGTACAACCCCTAGTCACTCTTCACCCATACCTAGTCAATCATTGTCCTTTTCCCACTCTTTTTCAGCCATAATGTTGAACAAAAGCTGGAGATATCCTCCCCTCTCCTCCCACTTTATTCACTCTTTCTTAAGAAGGACAAACACCTCTCTTCCACTTTCTCTCTCTAAAAATTCGAGATTTAAAGGCTGGTCTTGGGTTTTTCCTCCATATTTGGTAAGTATCTTCCTCCCACACTTAGATATTTTACTATCTTTCATCCAAATCATAGATTGCTTACACAAATATTGTCATATTTGTGTTAGATCTTCAAATCTTCAAGCATCTCCCAAGTGTTCTTGAGTTGAGCACTTCTTTTCTCCATCATCCATCTACTGAAATCACTCAAGGTGAGTTCATACCCCTATATTTTCATGTTTTTCTTAAGTTTTAAGGGGGTTACTGTTTTGGTCAACTTAAACATTTTAGTTTTCAAAACTGTATTAGGTGCAAATAGTTCAGGTTCATACCTTTACAATTACTACTTGCACATTACCATACGATTTTTCTACGATTTATGGTGATTTTTACGAAACTGCCTATCATTTCAAAAACGAATTCGGACCAGTCTGTGAATATGAACATTTTAACACAAGTTAAAGACTTCCAAAAATCATAATAAAAATTATGAACAAACTAGACACATTTTATGAACTCTCAGAATTTACGGATTCAGTTTTCGACTTCGTATGATTTTTCTATGAATTTTTCTATTACAGTGCAGAACAGTTAAAAACTAGTTAACAGCTTATAACTTTCAATACACTTTGTATTATGTTGAGCAAAGTGTATAACAATAAGTTCTAAATATTGAATGTATTTTCTTGTTAGTTTATCATCATAAACTGAAATTTAGTCATTCATGATAAGGTTTACTCATTCATTTCGAATACTTATAATAAACGTCAATAAGCATAGTTTATGGATTTTTACTACATGAAAAAGGTTTTACTCTCAAAACAAATGGTTTTTTCATATCTTTACGTAATAAACTATAATAGTAATAGTTTAAGGATTTCATATCACTAATTTATTCAGAAAAGGTGATTTTACTTCCTTCATGGAAGAGGTTTTAATATCAAACTGTGTGTAAACTAGTTAACTTAGGATGTGAGACAATTCTCTCCCCGTACGTTCGAGTACGGGATCCCAATTTTTGTAAGTTATAACCAGAGTCTCTTGTAGGGAGAGCGTGATAATTGTGTATAGATCTATATTGGGTTTGACACCCCACACCTTGCTGCTAGCTACAGTGGGACCTGCAGGTCTACGGGTGACAAGAGTCATAGTATCTTAACGTCTGAAAAACGTTGTGCAGGTTATTTCTCGTCATAGTATGGTTATAGCGACGCACATAGGTAGTTAACAATCTTTTAAGTTTACATGGAAACTTCTACTTTGAAAAGGGGTTTTACTTCTAAACTAAACGAGTTTATGCCGATTTAAAACCACTTTTATATCTTTAAGTATGGAAAATACTTGTTTATTTCCGGTCCTGGGATTTAGGACCACATAACTTTTATAAGGAAAATATAGGATTTTCTTTGGAATCATATCTCTGTTAAAACTATATTTCATCTACAATTGTTAGACTTCAGCTATAATTGCTAAGTGTATATGCTAGAGTTATATAAGAATCTAGTCATAATCGACTTAGAATTGGTGGGCCCGCCTTACTTCCTGTTCCTTGTTTGGTTGTGGACCTAGGGCAGACTCATTATATTCGACGGTTTATTTAACTTAAATTTTATATAACTTATATACACTGGGCGATTATAGAAGGAAATATATGGGCCTTTCTAGGGTTCATTATCGCATAACATAGAAGCATTCATTTCACTTAATAAAGAAAATATTGGATTTTCTGGAAACATACTTTGTCGCTTTTACAAGGAAAACGGTTTCTTTCTCAAAGAAACTCTTATGAACTCACCAACTTAATTGTTGACACTTTTTCAAAACTACTTGTATTCTCAGGAAATCAGTGAAACAGGAAAACCAACAGCATTTTGAGGATGGGACGATAAATCGTCAAACGTTTCATTTTGTCATCATAATGTAATTGATTTTGAAACATGTAAACTTATTCCATGGTGTAACCTTTTCAATTATATTTATGATGGTTGTATTTACTTTGAGCACTATTATATTCGTTGTTGTGATACTATACATGAAGTCCTCCACCCCTGGACGTTTCCGCCATCCTTGGTTTGGGGGTGTGACAGAAACCGGATCGGATTCGGGTTTTGTGCATCTCTAGTCAACATAGTAACCAGTTGTAGAGGAGAGAGAGAGAGAGTCTCTCTTCTCCCCCCTTACTCGCACCACATTCCCCCTCTTCTCTCAACTCGACAATCCTTCAAGGTTGAGGGGTGTTTGGTTGAGGTGGAGCTCGATGAGCTCAACACTATTCCCTCCAACCTAATAATATATGGTTTAAAATTAGAACCATATAGTTTTTTTTTATTTATCAAACAAAATTAATATTTTTATATTATGACAAACCCAAATATCATATTCTTATTTTTAATTGAACGAAACCAATTCGGATTGGTTTAATTTGTGATTCTATTATTTATTTTTAATTTTTTCGTTTAATTATGGATTCCATAACAAAATAGATATGACTTTAGATAAAGGATCTTAACTAGTATGGTCATTAACTAGTATGGTCAAATGGTCCTATAAACATTTTTTTTATTTGTTCATTTTGTAAAATTCCATTAATAGCTAATGTTTTAAATAGTTACGATAAATAGTAGTAATAATAATACCAACATGATTTTTAATAAAACAATTTTGAAATGTTGAAAAAAAAAATTATAACATTTTGGACTAATTTTAGACCATTTTGACTGTGTTTGCTCAATAACATTTGATGACAATTTGTATCAAAGTTTTCAAAATCTCACCTTATAAGCCTGCAATCCAATACAAATATTTCACTAGGATCCCTATCAGAAAAACTATTGCTTCCTAAACCCCCCAAAAAAAAATACAAAGAAAATTCAAAATTCACTTTTTTCATACATGAATTCAAGCATCTAGAAATGTACACAACCACTATATCATACCACAGATTCTTCTTGTATCAATCAATACATTCCCTTGAAAACAGGATTTGTTCTGCATATGCTCGCCCCATATTCTTCATATTCTGCTTTTGTATGACAAGCCTAATCCACACATAAATCAAAATCCAATGTTACACATTTCAGTAATAAACTAACATCAACATACATAAATTAGTGTTTCAATTGCTGATTAAAATAATAATAATAATAATAAAATACCGTGAAAAATTCCTGTGTTGATGCAAGTACAGAGCCTCCAAACCATACTGCATGTTTCTGGATAGGATGGCTCACTACATTAACTTCAACCGGTTGTGCCTGGAACCAAAATTAATAGCCGTTTTTTTTTTTTTTTTTTTTTTTGTCACTAAAAATGAAATAACATATATTTTATTGAAAATTATATGCTTACTTTCACTTCATTACTAAATTTTGCTTCTGATGCATGAACACGTGCACCCACAATCTTCTTTACCTCCCTTTGTAACCTTCTGTGGAAATCTTTAAACATGGTTGATCCTCCAGACAATACAATATTCTGAAATAAATCAAACCATGGGTCACAAGAATTTTTACGGTTTTGCCCTTTAACAATTATATAAAATGGTAAAACTTGTACCTTATAGAGGGCACGTCTTGTGTCAATTGGTGCAGACTGAATACACTTGTCTATTACAACAGGTAAAGGAGTTGTAAAGCCTCTATTGTATATCTCTGGATTGAAGAAGACCTACAAGGATTATTTTATAAATTATAATACATACATCTTGACAAATTACTTTTCTACCCCTTCAAAAGAGAGGTAAATTAAGGAAGACAGACCTCGGGACCAAGGAATCTTTCATAGCCAACATCACATGAGTATGGTGCCCCAGTCTTTGGTTTAATGCCTTTCCATTGTTTAATGTATTTGGCTGGCTCTTTGTCATGCTTATTAAACTCCTGAACATTTTTTAAAGAAAATAATATATGGTCAAATATCTTGGAAATTACAGAAATTACACAAAGCATATGACTACCTTGACAATGTCAGAACACGTGTAGCAAAATGTTTCTTTAACTTTCCGTGCTACTTCAAGTGAATCTTCAGGTGGAATGTGCTCTCCTCTTTCCTAAATAAGATAATATCATTAAAGATTAAACCAGACATCAATAATCTTGATTTTGAAAGAATAATTAAAAGGAAGTGAAAATGAAGATACCCTCATGAGTTGTTGGATGAAGTAAGTAACATCTTTTCCTGAAATTGGTATCGACTTAATACTGCTCCCAATAACATAACCTTCTGCAACAGGAACAACATGTGTAGCACCATCTCCAACATCCACCACAACACCTGTCATCTCACACTAAGCAAAACCATATAATGATTTAAACATTACAAATTACCAAATAAACTCCAGAATCAAGATTAAAGATCCAACAAGCTAACCTTCTTTGTGGTGTATCCTGCAGCAAGAGCAAGAACAGGCTGCACTGCTATATAAAGCCCTGGAACATTGAATGTCTCAAACATAATCTCACCAGTGTATTCTCGAGTCTCAGGTGCAGTCAATGGGCTTTCAGTCAACAAAAAGTAATGATCCTCTGGATCACAACGCAAGTAATTGTATATACATTGCTGCCAAAATCGCTCCATTGCATCCCAATTTTCCACCTGTCCATGTTTGATTGGGTGAGTTAGATTGTAGATGCCACTAGATCTTGACTTTGACATGGCTTCTTCTCCTATGTGAAAATCAAGATCAGCCATCACTCCTGCACTGTGTTGAGTCAGCCAGCTGCTGCTTCCTTTGATTGAGCTTCGGGAAGGTTGGGTTACAAATGAGTCGTTAAGAGCAACTACTGTTGGAACGTTAAAGAAAGGCTCCACATTACCAGCAAATCCCATTTTCGTATACCTGTAATACCATTATAAGTTCAATTGTTAGGTCAGATTTTCTTGAGTAATTTTATCAAACAGGTGGTCTGCAAACTGTAAAAAGAGTACTAGTTTAGCAAACATTGTTGAAAGGGTGGGGCAAAACGTGCTACAATTACTTGGTTGATAAGTCTTGGTGGACATGGGTGAATATATATGAATCTTATTGGGGAATTTAAACAAACATGTGGGGCGCGTTGCAGAGATGTGAGTGAGTTAAATACCCGGTGCCATTGTCGATGACTACAGCAGGACGAGAGGTTGAAGGATCCATGATCCGAGACAAAAGTAGAGAGAAATAATGATGTTCGTGGAGTGGTAATGGACCTGCAACTGAGATCCAAAGTGGGGTTTAAGGGAAGAACTGATCATGGTCGTTTGAGACGATGGATTAAAACTGTCGGCGTCGATTTCAACCCAAAGCAACTAGTCGACAAACAATACTGGAGATGATCGATGTTCTTAATGGGTTTGAAATCATCCATTTGATTGCATTGAAATTTATGATGAATGTGAAAGTTGTTTCATAAATTTCACCATCATTGCAATTGAATACAGACCCACTGTCGTTTTCTCCAATCAAGATACTTTCCTTTATGATGAAACAACAGAAACCTGTCAGTGATTCTTTCTCTTCGTATGTGTTCTTGAATCTCGTGTGTAATGTTTCGAGATTGTAAACACCAAATATGGCAATCAGAGTTGAGTATGAAATTGGGCCGTTTGGTTTTGGTATCGCCACGCAACGTTGGATCCCAAATAACCAAAAGTATTCGTCACGGCTCTATTATGCTGATATATGCTATAATCGTAGAGTAAACACGAATGGTCCCTATGGTTTAGGATAAATTATGTATTTGGTCTCTAACTTATTTTTTTAATTCGGAACGCTACTATTTGTTTTTGTTACGAGCTTGGTCCATGTCTTACCTAAAAAGACTATTTTGCCATTTATTTTTTTATTTATTTAAATAAACACACACCAACCCCACCCCCTTACCTTACCTAACATATTCCATCATTTTTCTCTATTTAAATAATAGTCTTTTTAGGTAACACATGGACCAAGCGCGTAACAAAAACAAACAGTAGGGACCAAGCACGTAACAAAAACAAACAATAGGAACCTTCCGAGTTAAAAAAAATAAATTAGGGACCAAACGTGCAAATTATTCCAAACCATAGGGACCATTCGTGTAATTTACGTATAATTGTATAACGAGTAAATCACAAAAATAGGATGGGTTGAAAGAATAAATAATTATTTTTCTATCTAATTGTAAGATTTTTGTGGTTATGTCGTATTTTTTTTTTTTTTGCAGGTGATTGTGTGTGGCGGACGATCTTATGTTGGAATTAGACAGAATGTTTTTGGCACCCTTGCCTTGGGTTCGACTGTGTTGCGACACGACTACTTTCTCCTGAAGCTTCGCTGATTGGCCCAATATTTTGTATAGCTTGGTTGGATCATTGTTCGGCTCTCGGGCCTATTATGGTGATACATTACTAACTCCTTCGATCTAACTTCCGAGATATACTATTTGATATTATTGCAAGAGTGTGTCTCAGACTCAGAGTCATTACCCTTTGGTTATATATGGGGTACGTGTGTCATATTCCTTGTTTGGTCAACTGTCTCAACTGCGTTTTCTAGTTTTCAAGGTCTTGCCTCCTTTCGATTAGATTATGATGATATGACATATGGGGTGTGTTCCATGTTAGTATGTTTGTATTTAGGGTTAGGCCAAAGGTTCTTAGGGTTTAGGTCAGGTCCTTTATATATCTATTTTTATATGAGGTTTAACATTTTCTATCTATTAAACAACTTATAATATTTACATGGTTTCATAGCCAAGCACTTTCAATCCAATTTTCTGACCGACCCATCGCTAGAACCCTAGTTGGCACTCGCATTATCGGTACCAAAGCTCCTAAATACTATCTTCTTTTTTCAATATTTTCTTTTCCTTCTTTCTTCTCCGACGAGTCCAACATGTCGGCGATGTCGTTACCTCATCTCTTAGCTTTGTCTCTCGCTTTCTCATTCTCAGGCGAGTTGTCACTATCTCCAATTAGCCCATGTCCCAGATCGATCTCTCTCTTTCTCTCTCTCTCTCTCTCTCTCTCTATATATATATATATATATATATATATATATATATATATATATATATATATTATATATATATATATATATATATATATATATATATATATATATATATACGAGTTAAATCAAATGAGACCACCTAAAAGGTTGAGAACGCGAGAACAAATCACAACCATATAAATAATTAGATATAGGGCTATTATTAGCCGGGTCATTTATGTAAATTATAAAACTGGTGTACTACCTATGTAACTTTGAAATGGCCATAAGGGTATAATAGGAAATCCATATAATTTAAATAATAGAAAGTCCTATAATTTAGGTATAATAATCGGATTTTTTTTAATTTTCTCTGTCTCCTTAACGACGCAACCCTAATATAAGTATTTTGAGAACACCAGCCGCACACCCCTACCTTCTTCAAAGTTCACATTATGTCATCGTCTCCATCTCCATCTTACCACCAATTGCCTTCATTGTCTTCCGGCCACCTTTATCGTCGATGGCTTAACATAGCCATTTGTAACCATCGCACCATCACCACACATCTTTCCTCCATCTTCTCATGTTTCTTTAAACCCCAATCAACAAAAAACAGAGAATCATTCAAGCTCTCCACTGCGTAGGATTCACAACCAGTAACAAACCCAAGATCTTCTTCTTCATCTAACCAAGGCTATCTGATTTGTACATCATATCCAAACCACCAGCTGTCATCATCTTCATCACGCATCTACTTTCATCTTCTTAACTACACTCCATCAAACAATCACTACCCATCTACGCAGCCCACGCCACATAGACTTCAGCCCACCATATTCACACCAACAACACACAATCTGTAACCAATCTGTTGCTCCAGGAAGATATCATCAACGTCACTCCATCTTTGTTGGTTCGTTGATTTCTTGTGATAAACATCATAACTACATATGTAAGTCGATTTCTTATGAGGATCATTACACATGCCCCAGAAAGCTCTCCCCGATCCGCCACTTTCATTTTAACTTGCCCCGTTCTTCATTTTTCTAGGTGAATTGCAGACCATTGTTCTTCATTTACACACCAACCCTATATTTCTTGGTCCTAATTCATCTCATATCAGCCCTTATAATTGATGCAATAGATAGCCACACAAAGATGTAATCGGATTCAAAGTAAAAGCTTGTGCACAGAAGCTGATTGATGAAATGCATGAGAGAGGTATTCTTTTATGAATTTTAGTTATTATTTTGTGGATTTTTGCAATACTAATATGATATCTTCACTTTACACTTACATTCATCGCATTGAATATATCTATATGAGAATTCAGAATTACACTATTTTTTTAGGTAAAAAAAGCCATATGAATATGTTTTATGTGTAGTTATTTGTTTTGGTTTCTTTTGATTATCAGTACCTTCTACCAAATTCATCACACAGCTGACCTTCCCCTTGAAAGATAGCCAAGCAGACCTGGAATCATATTCATAGGAAAAGGTTACACACAGAAGTTGATTGAATTTAATGATATATGGGTTTTTTTAGGTCCTTTGGAGTTGTTTGAGAATATGAAAGGTGAAGAATTTGAGCTAGAGGAGAATGAAAAATTGTATTATGTTCTATATTTTATTAGATGTAAGTTATATTATATTTTGATGAATTCATTTACGATAGAATGTGTATTTATTTATGAATAGCAGTATATTCATTTGTGAATAGCAGTGCATTCATGTGTGAATGAATGTATTTATTTATGATTAGAGGTATTCATTTATTCATTTATGAATAGTAGGGTATTCATTTGTTAATTGTAACGCCCCGATTCTCAGCTTTGGAAGAGGATTTTTTTTGGTGAGAAAAGCTTGGAGAACAAGTGACTAGAAGCAAGGAACGTGTGGGAATCAGAGATCTACCTCAGTTGGCATCCTTTGGAAGGTATTAAGCCATTATCTTAACCTCATTTCATTCTAGATCTCTTTTGGGTGGATTTTAGGGCTTTTCTAGCATATTAGGAAGCCTTTCTTGTGTTTGAGCTAAGATCTGAAGTTGCAACTTCAGATCTGAACTATATTGGGTCTCTAAGTCCATAAAGCTTCCAGCTTTTGCAAGAATGAGACTCTCCTAAGGTGTAAAACTCCATTGCAAGTTTGGATTTGTCATTGAGAGTCTCTAGAGCCTTGCATGCACGTAAAGTTTGCAACTTTACGTGATAAACATGCCTTGGGGATTGGATCTGCAATATGGAACCTTAGCACGGCTTAAAAAGCATATGTTTGGATGAAGGATTGAAGGGACTCGGCGAGTTGCATGGTCAAATCGGCGAGTCCGATGAAGATTTTCTTAGACTCGGCGAGTCAGCTAGGGTTTTCCCAACCATTGGACACGCGTGAACTTGGCGAGTTGCAAGGGAAACTCGACGAGTTGGACATGGATTTCACGGCCACCAATATTAGGAACTCGACGAGTCACTCAAGTGACTCGACGAGTTGACGAGTTATGCAAGGAACTCGGCGAGTGGCTGGTTGTACTCGACGAGTTCAGGTCAACATGGACAATTGACTTTGACTTTGACCAAGGGTTGACTATTGGACTTCTGGGGCATTTTGGGAATTTATGAACATGGTTGTGTGGCGAATATAGGTGGTGGAGTTTGAGGCGGTGATCCGAGAGTTGAGCTTATCCTTCGAGTCGACAGTTGCGAGGTGAGTTATCCTCACTATACTAAGGGGTCTAAGGCACCAATGTCGGCCCATTGGATATGATTTCCTAGCAGTTGGTAGTATGTTGAGTATGAGTTAGTGTTGCATGTTAGTTGTTATGCCAGTTAGGTAGATCTGTAGGACTACCTGTAGTATCATGTGATTATATGTATGTGCATTAGTTGTGTTATATGTCGACATATTATGTGAGATGGGTTGAGGTGATACTGCTCCGTGAGGTAACCAACAAACCCGGGAGCATTCCAGATACGAGCTGAGGGAGACTCGTAATGTGGGCTCGATGGCAATCTAAATGTGAGTTGTGGTCCCGGAAGGCAATCCAAACTCTCACTGTGGGCCCAGGGGGTAATCCAGTCTGTAAAGCTATGGACCCAGTATATTCTGTTATTTGTATATGTGTTATGTGCAATGTATCGGTATTTTGGGGGAACTCACTAAGGTATCGGGTTTACAGTTTTAGTTTATTGTTTCAGGTACATCAGGGGATCGCGGCAAGGCGAAGACATGATCGTACAGGTCCTCATGTTTTGTTTATGTTTCTGGGAAAACTATGATATAGACTATTTTGAAAACAAATTTGTAATAACTGTTGGTTTTAAATGTTTTGAAAAGTTTTAAATTGGCTTGAATTTTATGGGTGTTACAAGTTGGTATCAGAGCCTTGGTTTGAGTGAATTGGAGGAGCACTCGTGTGACTCCAGTCTCAAATCAAGGAAAAGATTTTTAAAATGATTTTCGAATGGTTTTCAAAATATGTAAATGTAAGTCCCAAATCTGCTTGTGTATCAATCAGATCCGTTTGATGGTGCCGAATCCCAATCAAACAGATGATGCCAGATCAAAATAGAAGAGAAGGAGAAGAAGAATAACTTGAATCTTGAATGTATTGAAGATATGAATGATGCTCCTTACACAAGATTCTCTCACACACACTATTCTTCTC